TGCTGCTCTAATTAATCCAAGGAGTTTATCTGCTTGTTTCCTACAGGATTCCAGGGAATCTGCTTAAACATCCATTTTCTAACGGCTTTATCCAATCCAGAGTGGTGGGGGAGCCGGAGCCCATCCGGGCAAGCAAAGGTGCCAGGCAGGAAACACCCTGGGAGGGGACGCTCACTAATCACACCTGGGCCAGTTTTTCCAGAAGCCAGTTAACCTGCCAGGATGTCTGTGGACTGTGGGAGGAAACCCACTCCACAGGGATCGAACCCGGGGCCCCAGCCTTGCGAGACCGCAACGCTAACCACTGCAGCACTCCGCCACTTTCTGCGGCAACGCGTTCTTGTTATCCTAGGTAGTTTATAAGAAACCCGTGTCAATTCTCCTCCGGAGTGCCTAGATCACCGCAACCCCAGCCTCGCCCACACACGAGCACAAGCAGTTTTCTTACCATTTCACACAGAGCATCCCCAAGGAGTCGTTTTCACAGGAACAGTAAAAAGGAGCTGTGCGGGATATCTGGAACCCTCCCTCGGAAGGACGGTCTCCATTTGAAGGCGTTTCTCAGGAAGCCTTGTGGCGGTGGGGTTTTTTTTTTTTGCTTCCTCCGAGATCTCGATTCCTGGAATGGAGCGAATGATTAAAAACGAATTCCGCCACGCAGCTGTACCGTTTTAATAGATCGTTGAAATTCGACAAGCGGAAAACCATAAACAAGGTTTGACTAAGCGGGTAGTGGCTTCGACTGAGGCTTGAGGTTGGTCACCAAAAGGGGAGGGGAGACAGGAGACGGTTTTCCCCGAGCTGTGGGAAGGGAGACATGAGGCCCAGCCGTTGAGACAGCTTTGCACTGTTATTCCGTGGCATGACTGGCTGAGCCACACAGGAGAAAAGGCCCTTCCACCCCTACCACTCTGTACGCAAAGATGTGTTCAGACTAAATGCAGTTCTTAATTTCCGTCAGGGTCCTCCAGTCCCTGTGCCACTGCTGAGCCTGGGAAGACAAACTGGGTCTTTCCAGGTGCTGAATGCCTGCATCAAAACTCCACCTGCTCTCCTCACTTCTTTAAAGCCCAGAAATGAACTACAGGCTTTCTTTTAAGCGGGGGGTCCATCCTAGCAGGCAATCTGGAACCATCCATGGAGGAAGAGAAGTAGAGACAGCTCAGATCCATTTCTACAGTCCCAATCAGCAGTTTGTTTGTGTGCCTCTGTACCCAGCCAGTCCTGGCTCATGACATAAGCACAGAGGAGTAATTCAGTCTCTCTCTCTTTTGCGCACAGTCCTTCAAGATAGGATCAGGGCCTGTCACTATATTCTGTTTTATTGCTAATATAAATGAGCTTCTCCTCTTCAGAGTACAGGCTTTCGCTGAGAGCTCAATTCTTCTTTGGCTGCAGTGAAATACAATTTGAGCCTGGTGGGTCCTTACAGCCTGCTCTTTGCTGGCTTATTTTTCATTGCTGTGCTCAGAACAAGAAATGCTCAACAACAAGGTACTGAAGACCTAACCCTTCCATGTCCTCCCTGCAGTATGTGTACTAGCACCTATAGAAAAGGGCTAGAAAACAGCTTCCACAGCCAGAAACACAGTAACTGACGAGAACAAAGTCTGTATCACTATCATAACTGTGCAGAAGACCGGACCATCTCTCATTTCGTATATAAACCTGCATAGATGAAGAACAACAGCAAGAAGCCCATTTGCTGTATGTTACACTGTTGGACCGTATGCGGGTAACAAGATCACTGGGGAAAGCAGAAATTGCCAAGGGCGAGATCAAAAGACTAGCAAAAAGGTCAATGAGGCAAAAGTGAAACTAGACAAAAAGTATCCAAGACAAAGTCCAGAAGTCCAAAAAAAACAAAACCCAAGAAATCATCCCAGGATGAGATCTCAAGGAGAAGATGTATGACACCCAAAATCTAACCAAATACTGAGCTAGGTTGAAACAGGGAGCAGGGTTTAAGTAGGCTGGAGGGGAGGTGTGGTGATGGGTTAACGAGGTCTGATTAACCTATGCCTCCCCAGAGTGGATTAGGTACATGCTACTTGTTTGGGTGCCATCTGGTGGCGGGATGCCGGTACTGTGACGCAATACAGGTTGTGGTTTGATCTTCACAGCACTAGGTGGCTTGGAATTTTCGCTGGTGTTTTCAAACGTGTGTGTGATATGAGTTTTATTACAGGGTCTCTGCATGATTGGCAGAGGAGGCTAATCTGAGGATTAAGCGATTCAGCCCCAGCAGAGCACAGGATGTTCAGTGTAATCCTCACCCTTTTTATACAGCTATAGGAACCTGTCTTTATTGCACTGTGTTCATTCATTTACTCACTTTGCCCATAGTTGTTTTTACTTTCTGCTTCTTCCTGGGGTGCCTGAGCTGCCAGGCCTGTCCTGTTTAAGACCCTTAAGCTCTTATTAGCAGAGAAGCAAGGGGAGTGAGATTCGCACTGCCAGTCCCAGACACTATACTGGGCTATTTTTAATGACTGCTACTTAAGGGCTGCCTTGCAGCACAGAGACATGAAATTAAGTCCTGTTATTCCCACAACCCAAAGGTCTCTCCCGAATTTACTGCCTGTCACAAGCGCTCATTTCTTCCTTCCCTATTTTTCCTCTCAATCCTCATTGAACATCCTGAAGGTTACTTGCAAAAAAAAGGCAAAAATACCATAGTGTGCTAATACACATTCAGCAGAATACTGGTGCCAGACTTATACAGGAATTCCTGAAGTGGCACAGAAGGATGGGTTTGGGAGAATAGTACTTTATTACTCTTGCAAATATTCTCGATGATGTCTTCCCCAACAATGTGGGGATCATCAGGAATTCCCTTAGAAAAAACAATGCAAGATTCCCGCAATCCCTGCAGTCTGAGACGGGGGGAAAAAAAAACCATGGTACATTTAGACCCGTACTATCTGGTCGCCCTGTTAAGACTGATGCAGACTCTGAGAAATGAAATACATATGCATCCTGTAGCTCAGTGGGGGCACTGAATCAGCTCAATGAATTAAATCTTTCATTAAAAATCAGAATGAATTACGGCTTTTATTTAAAAAAAAAACAGTCCATTAATTTGCGCTTCTTTGGTGCAATCACGGTAGAATTTACGGAGCTGAGTCGTTCCCATCTAAAGGATTTAATCCATCTTCTTGAGCCTCAGCTCTGCTCAGCTGTCGAAGCTGAGCTTCAGGCTCTGATCCAGCATTCCCTAAATCTCCCAAACGTTCCTCAGGCGCTTCGGAATTCTAATCCCCTGGCTGAATTGAATCCTCAGGCTGCACGTCGGCTCTGCAGGCTCTCGCCTGCGTGTGAGAAGCGGGGCAGCTCAACGTGGCTGAGGTCAGGACCCCCGCGCTGGGCTTTAGAGTCCTACACGGTGACATCTCCCGTCCCGGTGACGGCACAGGGGTGCTGGTTCCTCGTCACAGACCAGAGCAGGGCGGAGGGAGAGTGTGAGCAGGAGACACACAGCCTGTGTTTTGGGGTCCTGTGCCTGCAGCCTCCAGCCCTGGTCCTGGAGAGCGCTCATTCTTCAGGGGCCATGGGCCAGGGCGAAATCACCCCGGGTTTGATGTCGGCCTGTGGCACTTACTGTGTGGAGTTGGCATGTCCTGCCTGTCTTTCTTAAACGGGATGAAATGATCCTGAGGCTACCTGGCGTCACGTCCAGGGTGTCGCCCTGCCTTTGCCCATTGCTTGCCAGTATAGGCCATGGCTCCCCCATCACCCTGAATCGGAGGAACCGGTTCAAAATTGGCCGGGTAGATTCTGAGTCCACGGAAGGCCATCGCCTTCTGCTGGTGCTGGTCTAAGTGCCCGGGTAAGGTGGTCATGACCTGATCGTGGATGATAGTTTGAATGATCCCAAGTGGTTGCAGGAAAGGGCAGGTTTCTGTTGCCCCCCCTGCTGTGTGAGATCAGAATAACATCGGCTGAGACTGGGGGGCAGAAGTTGGTGGGGGGTGTTTATAGCACTGATGCTGTCTTCTGTTACTGCTTCTGTCAGTGCCCCGTATGTACGTAATCAACAGATTACAGACAAAAGAAATGATTATAAAGACAGGAAAAGGAAAACTGCACCTGAATGCTGTCATATACTGTAACTTTTCTGTGATTCTGGCTGAATGGTAGCAACAACAATAACAGTCTGCTCTGTGATGTGAACTTTCAATTCCTGTCTTTTTTTTCCTCTCCAGTGATTCACAGCCACCTTCTCCGGCGAGGGAGAGGAGAGCTGTGAGCGAAAGGAACTCGGCCGAGGACAAGAGGGGTATTGAACACGCTTTGAGGGGCTTTGAGAGGAGCTCAGCTACTTGCCAGCTCTTCTTTCGAGTGGTGACTGTTCCCTATAAGCCGGAAATTATGAGTGAGAGAAGCCTGTTTTAAACCTTACTTGACCCGAGGAGCAGCAGACGAGGCAGTCAGACACACGGGGCAGTTTGCAGGAGTCATCTTTCTCAACGGTGCATGTGTCACGGACGTCCAAAGGGACTAACCGTGGGGAGCAGGAGAGTGGAAAAAACCCATATGCGAAGCGGCGAGACGGGAAAAAGGCCCGGGCTCATTAGTGCCAAGAGTTCAGGAATGCCGTATAGAAACCTATGCCCTCAGGGAGCGGACGTTGGGCGCCCTGGTGCTAGGCGGGTCTCAGGACATCCGAACGTCAATGCTGAGCGAGGACAGAGTGCAAGACCCGGAATATATAGCCCAAGGGAAAGAGAGGGACCGGAAGGACAGCAGATCGAAAACTAGGGACAGGACAGAGAAGGAGCGCCCTCTGGCTGATGAGGGCGTGACAGCATGCTGGCCACTGCCCTTTCCCACTGCCCTAAATCTGTCCTGATCCCCTTTTAAAATGTAGCCCTAGCGCACAATTGGAGAGAAAAAACAGACAGAGATACAACAGTGCTTATCCACTGAGAGGTGAAAGCATAACAGTATTGCACAGAGGACACACTTGGTGCACCTTAAAAGGGGAAACCCAGGCCATCGACTGGTTTAAAAGATTTATTTAATTTCTATAAACACACATACAGGTTGATTTTTAAAAGATTAAATTAACTTCAAATAGATCTACACAAAATGTCCGCTGCAGCCTGGCAAATGATATTCACTCTGCGGAGCAGACTAGCGCACTGCTGTGTTATCTGTCTTTTCACCAGACTAACGCACACGCGTTCAAAATCCCCGGAGCAGAGACAGATCTTTTTCCCAGCCATGACGTGAGGCAAGGGCATTTCGAAAAAAAAGAAATGAGCTGAAGTCATCAAAGTCTCAGTGGAAATCGTCTGAGCTGACTGTGATGGTGCACCTACAGAGAGAGGAGAGCCAGATTCCAGAGCTCTGAGTGAACTGGTTTAGTGGCTCCAGTAGATCTCTGCCGCGTCACATGGCTGGGTTCTCCTTGCTGCAACTGGCCACATCTGTGTCACGGTATACAAAACACCTGGGGAAGATCCCGATCTTCCCAGCAGTGTGTCCTTCCAGCCACCCCTCGTTGACTGCAGGAGACAAGGACAACCGAGAATGAGCTCCCCAGAGACGGGACAGGAACACTTTCCAGCTCTGTCCCCTCTCAGGCTCTCTGCCGTCTCTCGCTCTCGCCTCCCTTACCCTCTGACAGGATGTCTATGGTGTCCCCTTCGCTGAACTCCAGGTCCTCGGGCCCCTGGGCAGTGTAGTCATACAGCGCAAACACCTGGTACAGGATGGGTCTGCCGAGCAGAGGGTCCTCGAGCTGAGAACGGGAGGGAGAAACTCAGGGAACTCAGAGAGAGACAGACGGACACAGTGAGCGACTGGGAGACACGGAGAGAGACGCAAACACAACTGAGAAACGCAGACCGAGTGAGAGACAGTCACACACGGAAACAGACTGAGATACAAGCTCAGATTGACTGAGACAGACACCAGTTGAATGGGACACAGATACACACAGACACAGACTGACTGGGACACAGACACACACAGATTGACTGGGAAACAGACACAGTCAGACTGGTAGACAGACACACAGTCAGACTGGGAGAGACAAACACACAGTGAGACTAGGAGACAGACACAGTGAGACTGGGAGACAGACACAAAGTCAGACTAGGAGACAGACACAAAGTCAGACTAGGAGACAGACACACAGTGAGACTGGGAGACACACAAACAGACTGGGAGACAGACACAGTGAGACTGGGAGACACACACAGTGAGACTGGGAGACACACACAAACAGACTAGGAGACAGACACAAAGTCAGACTAGGAGACAGACACAGTGAGACTGGGAGACACACACAGTTAGACTAGGAGACAGACACACAGTCAGACTGGGAGACACACACACAGTCAGACTGGGAGACACACACACAGCCCCTCTGTACCTGACACCAGAGGGTTGTCCTCCCTGTCTCGGTTGCCTCCAGCAGCTCCTGCAGCTCTGCGTCCCCACTGAGGGGGGTCAAGACGCGGGAGCCCAGCTCCCTGTGCCTGGACAGGGTCAGAGAGGGAGGGCTGAGACTGGGTGGCGCAAGAGTCTGGACTCTTTGCAGAAAGTTACTGTCTGAGCAGGGGAATCTTTGGTTGGCAATAAGAAAATACACCACCAGTGCGATTCTGCATCATTTAATAATAATTAATAATTGCTTACACTTATATAGCGCTTTTCTGGACACTCCGCTCAAAGCGCTTTACAGGTAATGGGGATTCCCTCTACCGCCACCAGTGTGCAGCCCCACCTGGATGATGCGATGGCAGCCATAGTGCGCCAGAACGCTCCCCACACACCAGCTCTCAGTGGGGAGGAGAGCAGAGTAATGTAGCCAATTCATAGATGGGGATTATTAGGAGGCCATGATTGGTAAGGGCCAATGGGAAATTTGGCCAGGACGCTGGGGTTACACCCCTACAGATCATTTACAGGCTGATCTGTCTGTGTTGAGAGGTGAGGGGTCAGGGGCTGTCCTACCTGAGGCGGAGCTGTGCGGGGGGCTGGCCCAGCTTGCGAGCGATTCTCTCCTGCAGCTCTCTGTACGGTGTCTGCACGGGCACCCTCAGGGCCACGGTGTACCCGTAGTGGACCTTCACCAGAACCGAGCTGCCCGGCTCGGGCTCATCCGCGCTGCCCCCTGCAGGCAGGCCCTGGAACACACAGTGGGGTTGGCGGAGCGGCTCGGTGGGTAAGACGGGGGGCAGCGCGACCCAGTGAAACGTTAACCGACATGAAGGAAAGGGCAATGTAATCGCGATAGTGAGGACTTGTCGCCATCTAGCGGCGGAAGAGGGGCACTGACTCCAGAAAACGCCGGAATTTACGATTTGCGTAGATATAGACGGGGGTCTCATACTGCGGCCACTGAGTTCGGATATGGCCCACATGCAAGGTCTGATTTGTATTCCAGACTGGGCTTTTTTAAGAACATTATCCGGATGAATTGGTCCAATTCATCTTCTTCGGTCTGGCTTAAACCTTTTGCTGACCAAAATGTACCACCTTGTAACCTGATCTTATCAGACCCCTTGGTTCAGTTACACAGGGGCTGATCGGTACAGGGATGAGAGACCCGTCTTGCTCATGAACGACGCCCTGGGCGGCGTTGGTCACGACAGTAGGGGTGTGTTAACCCCAGTGTGCTGGCTGAATTCCACTCTGGGCTGCACAGTCTGACTCTCCCACAGGCCCCCCTTAATTCACTTCCTGCTGCAGTTTCTCTCCCCTGCCCCTGATCTGCAGTGCTGGGGGGCCGCTGTGCCCCCAGGTGGGGGCTGTACTTCAGGGGTGGGTGATGAAGTACTGTGTACAAAGTGCTTTGGGACGAACAGCACTATAACCACGCAAGGACCTATTGCACTCAGCCTGTTCCCTTTGACCCGGTCCCAAAGAATTTCCCAGCCCCCTCCCGCCTGTTCAGGCCCGTTCCTAATTGGGCTGGACCCCAGGGAGTGTCCAGTTCCAGACCCCGCCTCTTACCTTCTTGTCCCGGGACCCCTCCGGGCGAGGATCTGCGTCGGTGAGCCCCGGGTGCGGAGGAGGAGTGAGGCGGGAGGACGGGGGGGCAGGAGCCACAGCGGGGGGGTTCGTCCTGCCTGGACTTTCTGGACACAGTGAGACGAAGACCCGGGCTGAGGACTGTGGGGACGTGACACCCCAGCCTGCTGCGGGGAACGTCTATTAAAGAGGAGGGGCTCTGCCCTCTCTTAAGCTCTCCCTCAACCCAACAAGCGACGCAGCTCCTCCCCTCCCGAGCTGCTGTGGACCTGCGGCCCAGGTGCTGCAGGGACACTGTCTCTGCTGGGTTCTGTTCCATTCAGCTTCTTAATCACAGGCTAATCAGGGTCTAGCCTGCTATCTGGGGGATATTTGTGCATTTACATTCAGCTCGTAAGAAGCCCAACGGGATTCGTCATGAGCGTCTGCTCTGTACCGAACTGAGCTCGTTCAGGTGTGCAGTCGGAGCTGCAGCCAACAGGACCTCCGAAGAAGGGGGAAACACGTTTGTTTTGAGCCGCTGCTGTCGACGGCCCTCTCTCACACACGCGTGCAATAATCCTCCTGGCCACCAGAGGTCTCCGTCGCCCCAGACACCTCAACAGCAGCACCTAACACTCTGTGGTACCAGCCTTCAGCGTGAAGCTCGACGCCTTGGTTAATACAGGCGTCTGAATATACCCTACTGTATAACTATGAAAACATCAGGAAATTTCAGTAAACAATGATGGTAGCGATGTGGATCTGTGTAATAATTAGAAACAGAATCGTATTTGGAAAGGTTAAATGGGCACCTTATGACTAAGCCATAGATTTGTGGGGAAGATTAACTGAGTGGAAAAATCCATCTTCAGGATCTATTCAGTGGTAATAATACAATTAATGAAAGACCCATAATAACAGCAGCAGTGCTGATTCTAATGAACTCTTGTAAGTTATATGATTCCATGTGCGCCCCCGCGGGGCGCTCCACACACCTGGCTGGGGCGCAGCGAGGCTGCCTCGGGACTGGGGGCACGTTGGGGGCGGCAGGCCTGGCGGCAGGGGTATCCCCGTTGGCACAATCTGGGATGGAAAGAAAACAGGATGAAAATGACGCCCAAACAGGTCCGGAATATTTGATAGCGCGTTCCTGAAACGATTATAATATTATAATATTGAAAGCACAGGTGCCCTTGATAAACCGGGATGCACTGCGGTGCTCTCCCACACTCTATGATCTCGAGAACTACCACTAGCCTGGGCTCAAATGCTCCTGTCTAACCCCAACCCCAGAACCAACCCTGTCAGAAGTCCTAACCCTAACCCTGACGCTGACCCCGAAAACCTGGGCTTGAACCCTAACAGCCAGGGCCGCACAGGGGCACTCAGGTGACGCCGCTGGGGGTCATAAGGCTGAAGTGCGTCCGTGTTTGCCAGTGGGGATTCTCCACAGAGGAATGTGGAAAGGATGACAACCCATCCAGTTCGAAACGGGTCCTGTGCTCAGTCGGACGGCCGCTGTTTAAAGGCCAAGCAGGACGAAAATTGGGCACACGGGGCCCACCCGAAAAACGAGCTATCAAGCCATAGTAAGAACTGTGAAAGACTCAGGAAGCGAGGGAGGGGTGCTTTTTACACCTCCAACGGCCTACGAGTGAACCGTTGACAAGGGACCTAGGAAGGATTGTGCAAGAGGTATGCAATTATTTGTCAATAATGCAGACTGATTAACACTTATTTTTCCAAAAACAGAAAAGCATTAATCGGCTCAGGGACTGTTTCAAACACTGTAGCATGCCCGCTGTGTTTTTTGCAAATGTAACTGGGGAGCGTTCTCGCCGCCGGAGCGACAGACACACCCCGGCCCTGGTCTGTACACAGCATTGAGGAGGATGGGGGACAGCAGAGTACCTTGTTTTTGTCTGCCTTTCTGTTGCTTGTGGGCTCCAGGAGTGAGAGGGGCAGCAGGCCTTTCTGTAGAGAGGTGGCAGGACAGGAGGGTAAGAGATTCATTCCGAAAGATACAGCGCCCTGCTGCCTCTCCCCCCCCCCACCGCCTCAGGGTCGCCCCCTACCTGTCCGTCGTAGATGACGGTCACAAGGCCGTTGACTCCGCCATCACCCAGGACGAAGACCTTCTCCCCCTGCGGCACATGCAGCTCCCCTGGGCCCTGGGGCGCGTGGGTCGAGTGCACGCACATGTACCGTGACTCTCTGCGGGGGGAAGGAAGAGCAGCTCTCACCTGCTTCACGCACTGCGCCGCCCCCTTGTGGCCGAGCCAGTGAACAACGAGTAAAAGAGCAACCGGTATTAATAGTTAATTCCTTTCGCTTATATAGCGCTTCCCTGGATACTCCACTCAAAGCGCTTTACAAGTAACAGGGATATATTCTCACACTAAACAACAGGATGGGTCAACCAGCAGCCCTTCCATTCTATTCTATTAGAACTCTGCCAGCACCCTATCACTTAATTATTTAATTGATAATTATCAGCATCCACATAACAATTAAGGCAAGGCCAGAGATTGGATTAGACTTGGTGGGATCGATTGAACTGGGATTAACTGGATTGGACAGGACTAGATCGATAAGACTGGGATGGATTGCATTGAATTGGATTACATGAAACTGGACTGGGTTGGCTGGAACTGCGTGTTGAGTACCTCTGAATTAAGGAAAGCTGTCTTCTTAGAACGTGTGAGGTTATATAATTAGCAGAAAACCATAATCGTCAGTCACTCACAGACAAACAAGGTCTTTTACGTACAGGTCATACAACACAGGGGACATAACAACACATGGCCAGTGCAGGAGCCCAGCTCTTTATGAAGAGCTTAATGAAACAGTGGGTAATCTCGCACATTTCTTCTGAAGCACCTTCAGTGAAACCAGGCAACAATCTGTTCACTTACTGTGCTCTGTCCGCCTTGGGCTCGTAGTATCCCGGCTTCTGATAAATGAGAGGACAAGAATGAGACATCGATCCTTTGGCACTCTTATAAGAGTTTGTCATTGTTAAGGAGGCGGGACCATCCTCCTCTCTCCACAGGGTGACCATATGGACCTGTAGCTGATCCGCAGGAGCCTGCTATATGGGGAGAGGAGCTAGACTGTACCTGCAGTCGCAGGGGCTCAAAGCCAGCAAAATCATCATTGGGGATCACTGAAGAGATCACCTGCAACACAGAGCACCACATCACTGACAGACACTGGGCAGGCTCTCTGACACACTGCCACACACAGTCAGTGTGTGTCAGTGCTTGTGTAGGTGGTTGTGAGTATGCGTGAGTGTGATTGTGAGCTTGATGGATTGTGAGTGAGTGTGAACGTGCATGAGTGTGAGCGTGGGTCAGTGTGAGTGTGTGTATGTCAGTGTGAGTGTGTCAATGTGAGTGTGTGTATGTCAGTGTGAGTGAGTGTGAGTGTATGTGACTGTGAGTGTGAGTGAGTGTCAGTGTGAGTGTGTGTATGTCAGAGTGAGTCAGGGTGAGTGTGAGTGTGAGTCAGTGTGAGTGAGTGTGAGTGAGTCCCAGGGTACCTTGGGTTTTCCCAGGAAGTCCCTCTGCTCCAGCTGTTCCACATCCTGCCTTCGCGGACGGAACACTTCTCCCTCCGGCACCAAGAGAGGATCCAGGACCATCTGCTTCTGAGAGGGAGAGAGAGGAGGAGGAGAGGGAGGACAAGGGATGGATCCCAGAGGAGGAGATGAACAGGGCTAGAGTGAGAGTCACATACACCATAACTAAATAATTACCCCACAGACAGGAAGAAGAAGAATTGTTCCTAATGCAAGAAATTGTATATGGCTGATAAAGTGAATGGAAAAAGCGGCGAAGTGTCTAAGGTATAAGAATAGTGACCTTCCAGAAAGAGGCCGAGAGAGAGGGACAGGAATATGGAGGGGCGATGGGTGGGGAGAGGAGGTGTGCAGGTGGGACAGCGGGGGTGGAGGTGAGATGGAGGACAGGAATTGTAAGAAAAGCCAAGATCTTGTTTTCCCTGCCCGCCCCCTCCCTCATACTCACAGAGAGCCGGTCCAAGGCAACATCCAGGTTGGCCCCCCGCCCTCCACCTCTTTCCCGGGTCAGTGTGAGCAGCAGGTCCCCAGCCTCGTCCCACTGGCCCAGACGCGAGTGCACCACAGCCTTGTTATACAGCACCTGTCCACCAGGGGGCAGAGGCGCATCAGGGCCTGCTGTCGGCTGACTGGTGGGCTAGGGGGGCGGGGCGAGTTGTCCCTGGGAGAGCTGATTGGCTGGCAGCGGGGTAGGTGGGTAGGATGTTGGCGAATCGGCTGAGTGCTGGGGTGGTGGGTAAGCATGTGGGTTGGTGAGTTGGCTAGTGAGCTGGTTAAGCTATGAGCGACAGGTCCGCATGTGGTTGTGGGTGGGCTACAGCCAACGTTGCTGTATGGTTTAGTGGGACGGCTGTTAATTTGGATGGTTAATTAGTGGGATGGTCAGTGCAGACTACTGGTCAGTTGACTGATTTCTTGTTTTGACTGTGATACAGGGAAAGACACCAGCAGTATGACCCAGGTGGACAGCCTGGCTGTCACGATATTAGTCCCCCCTCCTTAAGGGTGCTCCAGCCCTTTCACTTAAGACTTTATTCTCTGCACCTGTTTCCTATTCCCTGCCCACCTTAAAAGCCAGGCGCTGACGCTCTTCCGGGCTCTGCATCTGATTTCCGTATCGTGCGAGTCCGGGACCTGGAAGCACCTGGTCCCGTTAAGGTTTTAACCTCTGTTCCCATTCCTGTTCCCCGTCCGCCGGTTCCGACCCGGCCTTCGTGGTTTTTAATTCTTTGTTCTGATGGATCTCCTGGTTTTGGACTTACCCTTGCGTTTTGGATTTTCCCTAAGGACTACTCTCGGATTGTTCGCCTCGGCCACGCCTCCCCCGTGCACCAGCGCACCTTGGACACGCCCCCTTGTCTTCAGCCCCGTTTTCCTGCATGACGTTTCCCCAGTGTTTCCCCACTCCGTCGGACTGTGTCGTCCGCATAGGGTCCGGAAAGAACTGTTCGTTACAATGGCAGGGCGTGAGAGGGCTCGACCCTAGCATTCCTAAACTGCCTGGTCCTCCTCTAACTCACCGAGACAGATGAGGCAGATTAGAGGTGAGAAGAAGGTGTCTGCAGCCTGCCTATCCAGTTCAGTCACTCTCTGTATTGATCCAGTAACCTCATCCATAATTCGGAAGGATTGCAGTCAGTCAGGTTCAATGGCCAGCCGGGAAAGAATTTCACTTCAGTTGGGAGAATTTAAGACGACTCACTCAGTGTGTTTAGCAGTGACTGTATTGTGTGGAGAAAGCTGTACTCTCTTTCCTGCAAACACCTGCCTTCAGCTTGATTCCCCACATTCCGATCCCCAGCTCCTCCCATCCCCATCCGTCTCTGACCCCGCCGCCCAACCACAGCGGAGACACGCTGCTGCCTGTCCTACCACGCCTCCCCCCCCCGTGGAGATCGAGCGCCGGCTTGGCCTTCTGACGGAAACGGCAGGAATGTCTTATCTCTGCCTGCTCAGGTGTCGCCCTGCGAGCTCTGCTCTCCGCACGCAGCGCCTCTTCGCCACAGACGAAGACTTCCTGCAACTCGCCTTAACCCTGACCCAGGGACTGCGGGTCGAACCCAGGCGCAGAGGGGTGGGCGGTACAGGAGAGCCGGTGTTGGCACTGTCCAGTTCAGAGACTCCATCGGGCACTGGACAGGCAGGCAGCCCCGAGCCCTGGAAGACGCTGGATTGTAAGAGAAAGAGCTCTGGAGCTTTCGCCTGCAACTATATCGCCCTGCGACTCACAGCTGGCAGCCTCACTGGAGCTCAGCAGGTGTGCGCCTGACCAGTACCCGGATGGGAGACCTCCTGGGAAAGCTTAGGCTGCTACTGGAAGTGGTGTTAGTGGGGCCAGTATCCCAGGGCATTTTAAAGAGTAGGGGTGTTACCCCGGCGTCCTGGCCAAATTTCCCCCCTGGCCTTTACCAATCTTGGCCTCCTAATAATCCCCATCTCTGAACTGGCTCTCTTCTCCCCCCCACTGTGAGTTGGTGTGTGGGGAGCGTACTGGTGCATCCGGGTGGGGCTGCACATTGGTGGTGGCGGTGAGATTCCCCATTACCTATAATGGTAAAGTGCTCCACAGCACTTTGAGTGGAGTGTCCAGAAAAGTGCTATATAAGTGCAAGGATTATTTATTTAGATGAAAGCAGATGGAAATTAACCCGAGGGGCAGCATAGTTAACAGAAGGGGTTAAAGGTAACCCTGGGGAGAGGGGTGTAAAGTCAGGGAGCTCACCTGCCAGCTGTACAGTTTGTAGCGCAGGCCCAGCTGTCTGTATTCGATCACAGGGTTCCCTCGCATGTTCCTGTGGGCCAGGGCGCAGTCTGAGAGCGCTTCCTCCAGCCTACGGACAGAGGGGGAGAACCGAGAGGCTGGTCTGGTCCGGTTCTATCACACATTCGGACTTCAGTCTCAGTACAGCAGTCAGTACACTGGTACAGCTGTCACTATCTCAGTACGGCTGGCAGTACACCGGTACAGCTGCCAGTACACTAGTACAGATGGCAGTACATATTTATCACATTTCACGTTTCATTACTGTGGTTCAATCCCTCACCTGCTTGTAAGCACGTTCACCGCTGCCCTCTGGAAAAAGGCCACAGCCAGTCGTTCATCCCTGGCGATGGTTTGGTCCAGAGCCTGGACACAGGTAGGGGTCAGTGTTACTATGGTCCCTGTTGAAGGTTTCTTAATCGCTCACTCTCTTCCTGCCTCAGAGCCTCCTGCGCGATCTCCCACCTGCAGGGCCTGCTCCAGGTGTCCCAGGGTGAGGTGCACGGAGGCAGCGGTGAAGAGCGTCCGGGCGGTGGGCTCGCTGATCTTGTCCAGGCTGCACAGCGCTGCTGTCCAGTCCCGGCGGTCCACCGCCTGAGCAGCCTCATTCCACAGGCGGATCAGCTCTGTGTAGAGCATGGCTCTGCCAGGAGGGAGACAGGGACGGACAGGGATAGACAGGGGCAGAGGAGCAGAAGGACAGAAGGAGACAGAGAGGTACAGGGGCAGACAAGGACAGAGAAGCGAAACAGACAAGGAACATTAGGAAAAACATCAGGGGAAAAACTTTTCTTTCCCATGGGGGCAGTACGAACACAGTTCACAGCGACATCACAGTTACACACCTGTCCAGAACAGTACGCACCTCCACTGACAGACTCTTCCCACTCTTGGAGCACGCTCAGCAAGTGTTGCATTTCTTCCCTCTACTTTTCAGCATGGAGCTACCCTGTACGTATTCCTTTACTCTCTGTACTGTATGATCATTGCGCATTGCATGGAGAGTTCAGGCAAACTGGTATAGCAGCTCCAGCGAAGCCCCCCTGCACCTGAAGGTTACTTTGAGACGGAGGGAGGGTGACAGAGCCAGGGGAACACCCCAGCAGAGACACCCCGTGTCATTTCTCCCGTCGAATCCTCCTGAACCGTAACCGGAGAGATTCAGGATTGGACGAGACTGTCTATGTGGCTCTGTGTGTCCACTGGACACATGCAGGCAGGGGATCTGTGAAAGTGACTACTGTCTCTGGCTCTGTACAGGTATAGGCATAAAAAAAGGCATATATGAGGTCCTGTACAGGAGTGTAAAGGTAATCTAGGCTGATGTAAAAACCCCGGCTTCCAGCTTTTCTTAAAAGTAAAAACGACTAAACCAAAAGGCCTGAGTCCCACTCGCACCTGCTGCGGGGATACAGCACTGCGGTTGTGGGCGTTTCATACACACCGAGACAGAGGCGACTAAGTAATATGGACAGACCCCACAAACCTGGAATCTCAGCTCTGAAGGAAGGAACAGCTGTAAGCTGGTTGTGGATAAACATGCTGTAAATCCCTATTTGCGCTGTAAAGAGACCTGGAAGCCTCTTCGTCCCCAAGACTCACCTGCAGGAGGGGGCGGCCGAGCTTCCCGAGGGTCAGAGCAGAGGAGCGGTGTTCTGGACAGCAGGAGTGATCTGGGGAGCAGCTCCGAGGCTCTAAGGCTGCCGGGCAGAGAACAGGGAAGTTTCAGACAAGCTGAGCGACACGCCTGATCGCACCACGCTGCTCCGCTCCGCCAGTAAGGAAGTCAGGGAAGAAAATTCCGACACACACCCTCGGAGGCTCAGAGGCGCACACGCACACGAGCACTCAGAAAAGATCGGGGAAGAAAGAGCCGGGGAATTCCAGAACGTCCGGACAAAGGAGCCCTTTCTGTGAGCCTGCTGAGGCGAGGCGGAGAGGCTGGTTCATGTTCTAACTCCCCCCTTCGCAAGGAGCGAAACTCTTCCTGCTTGAAGGCTGGTCTTATCACTTCCCAGATCCTGCAGCGTGGAAAGAGAAGATCCTGTCAGGAACAGGACTCCCACAGAAGCAGGAGAGGGGAGAGGCGGGGGCGACACCGGTCTTATATCAGCACACAGTTAAGAGCTAAGGGAAAAAATACCCCATTCTTGATATTTGTTCTGAGGATCTCACCCAGCAGATTCACGAAAGGTGCCAGGGCATCAGCTTCGGCAACATGACTGGTTATCTTGCTCCAGACTCCCGCAGCCCTTTGCGTGAATTTTAAAAATGAACACAAGTTCCATCAGACACGATCAGCAGCTCTGAGCACACACGGGCAGCAGGAAATACTGTGTGAGCAAAGGCACTGGGCAGAGAGAGGGGTTGTGTGATGTCAAAGCCCTAGGGCTTTGTGATGTCATAACCCATGCGCTTCGCGATGTCATAGTCCGAGAGTCCCATTCTAGAGGACTGGGGCAGAGCTGGGTGTGTGTGTCCAGAGAGCTGTGGTGCTGCAGTTCACAGGGGGCTCCACAGACATGGATTTCTGGATGAAGACCACCAAGTTCTTCAGAACCTGCGGCCCTACGGCGCCCACAGCTACCTCTCCAGCAGGCTGCACCTGGATCTTCAGGGGTAACGATTATTTTTGTATTGCCCAGGGCTGAGGGGAATGTCCTACACTGACGGGCAGGAGGAGCTGAATCCTCCCTAGTCTTGAACACAGAAGACCAGGACAGAACCTGATCCAGGTGTTGTAATCCTCAAAGGCCCAGCCAAAGTAAAGCAAAAAGGATCCACCCCAGTGCTGGAAATATATCGGTGATACAGATCTGGACTTAGGCCTAAACCCCTGATTGTACTCAATATCAGAACATTCACTGTTAAAATAATATTCAGATTACCATGCGGTTATGAAGAGATACAGAAATGGCAGAGCTGTGAGGTCACGGGTAACTGACTGTCTTCCCCAGGCATGCAGGGAAGAGTGGCGCCCCCCAGAGGTTTGGACAGTGCATAACCTCCATGGGTCCTGGTCAGAACTGCAGAGCCAGCCGTTACTGCCCGATCGTTTCATTAGCTGATATATTGCTTACGTGTCAGACATTGAGTGAAATGTCGATGAACGGATTGATTTAGCTTTTGTCGATAATCTATCGGACCATAGAAACGCTAGACATTTAAGGGGGCAGGAGCCAAGAATGACCTTTATGTCATATCTGAGTGGTGATGCACTCAGACTGGTGACTGAAGGGGTCCCCTGCTGTATGTGACACACTGGGGGATTATCTGGGCATGAGAAGCACTATAGAAATGAAAGACATTATTGTCGTAATTGTTGTTACAGTCACTGAGTAGTGATTTAAATAAAAACAGAAATTTGTCGTAGTAAAATTGACATCACCGCCGATTCCAATTGGCCATTGCAAAATAAAATTAGAACTAAACTACTTTTTAATACAATATGGTGTTGAAGAACAGTTTACCATCCAATTTATACTTACTAAACAGGCGCCTCTAATTTACTCTGAACGCAGTTCACTTTCTTACCACAAGGTGGCGCCAGAGGACAGCGGGCGCACGGCTAGTACGACTACATCACGTATCCTGATAGGAGGGAATTTTTTATAGAGGAGCGGGTAGGTCCCCCCGCCCCCCGGTTATCACACAGAAATCTCTTAGTTTTTCCCTGGTTTCACACTGTACCGTGAAACAAGGAGACACAAGCTCACAACTGGAAAAGTTAAAAAGGAATTCGTTGAGTATGAAAGAGAGGAAGCACCTCTTTACACAAAGAGTGGTAGGTGTGTAGAACAGATTTTGCAGCCAGGTGACTGAGGCTCAAACTCTGGGCTCTCCTGGAAGAAGCAAATGAACAAGATTTGAGAGCTGCTTAGGTAAGTCTAGGTAACGGAACTGGCCCCACTAACACCTCTTCCAGCAGCAGCCTTGGTTTTTCCCAGGAGGTCTCCCATCCAGGTGCTGGCCAGGCTCACGCCTGCTGAGCTCCAGGGGGGCTGCCAGCTGTGAGAGTAGGGATTTTAACCCTGGTGCCCTTTCTGCTCTCGAGTCAGTAAGGTTCTCCCTGGCTTCGGCAGGGTGAGCACTTCCCAGCCCTGCCCCCGATCTGCTGTTCCATGTGTACAGCGCTTTATCGATGAAATCAACCTTTTAACAGCTCAGGTGGGTAGCTGCGTCAGCATGTATCGTCTGCAAAGGAACAATAGGTTTATTCCCTGCTGAAAGAGCAATGAAGAGGGAAAACACAACGTTTCTGTGTGAGCGCCTGAAGGCTTCACAGCCAAGACGTTGTGTGTCCTCTCTCCTCTTTTCAGCAGGGAATAAACCTATTACTTGTTCCTTATTGTTTCATATATACATATGGACTGTACTCTGCACTCGCCTATTCTTTCTGCACCTGTTACCTGCCGGGTGTGACGTCACCGCGCTGGGGCGCGTTGGGAGGGGGGCGGGGGCGGCTCAGCGAGCGTCAGGACGGAGCCCCGCCCCCACGTCTGCTTCTCCCTCCAGCTGACGACAGGTCGCCCCCTCCCACCGCCAGGTCAGTCCGGTTTTCCACAGAAGCGCAGAGCATCGCGTCGTGCGCGCAGCGGGGCTACTGCTGTCACTGAGCCGGGATAGCTGGAGCGGAGCAGCCGTGCACCAAGAGCTCTCTTCTTTCGTCTGTGTCTCTTCGTCTGCGCTTGTGTCCAACCCCCCCACCCCGGAGAGAGGATGGGGAAATGACAGCCCCCCGCCCCGTGTGCCGCTCTCCCGCTGTAAGGACTAGGATGCTCACCGAGACCAGAGGGGCGGCGGGCCGGGCCTCCCTGCCGCTCGGGGTCTGTCTCTGCGCGATCCTCCTCGCCGTCGGCGCCAGCCTGCCAGGTAGGTGGGAGAGAGAACCCGCTCGGGCTTCGTGCGCCGGGAAGGACGGGACATGGGCTCCGCTCGTTGGCGCAGCAGCTATCTGCGATAGCGTCCATATGTAACGGTAGCCGATGTGCCTGTGCGTGTTCAGTTCAGGATGTTATTGAAATAACACGGGGGGTTGGTCGCGTTACTACCGTCACTGATGTTATTAAGATGAATTATTTTTAATAATATGACCCATCTTGAAGCTCGGATACGGTGTGTGTGGGTTTTGTTGTCGTGGTGACGTCCCGCTAATTGCGGTGTGTTGTGTTGTGTTTGAACACACGGGCTGCGGTGTGTTGTGGTGTGGTGTGGTGTTCTTGTGCTAAAAACAAACGCCCCCCTCACCGTCTGTCTCAGAAGCGGGGCCGGCCCGCGGTTCTGGGGTGCGAATATGGCGGCCGAATTCGAACCATTGCGGTTGTGTTGTTTTTTGTTTTGTTTCGTCAACGTGCTGTGTGTGTTTTTTTTAAACAATGAGTGTTTGTTACCGTCTGTCGTGTCCGCATCTGCCCCGCTCTCCTTCCCCCTCTCCTGACGGGATGGTGCCGTTTTCCCGGCGGTTTCCGTGACGACGGTACCGACCCGGGAGCCCTGTCCGCGAGAGGCGTCAGCCCGGGGCGTCAAAGGAGGAAAATTGGACAATTCCCCCCCCCTGCGGGCTCTGGACCTGGCCCCCAGAGCCCGACCTTTTGGGATCCACGAATCCCCTGTACTGTGTCGAAAGCTGGGCACCGGGACCCGAAGGCGGGCCGTGTTTTTGTGCCATATGGCAGGTTAATGTTACTGTTGATGGCGCCAGCGTTTGTTCAACGCACGGTACAGCCCTGCCCAAAGGTATCCGGGCCCTTTGTCCCCGGGCCTGTCTCGAATTTCCTGCGACTGGTGTAATTATTCCCTGTGGAATAATTGTACGTTTGTCTCCGTGAGGTCCCCTCTCGCGCCCGCCGGGGGAGCCGGTCTGTAGGCTGTGACGTCGGGCTGCGGACGGGCGCGCGGCTCGGCTCGGCTCGAGGTGCGAGCGCGACCGTGTCCGGAAGCAGGGGCTGCAGACACATGCCCCTCGCACAGCCAGGCGGGAGGAGAGGAAAGAGAACCGAGGAACTGAGGAGCAGGGCTGAGCCGCGACCCGAATCGACGGAGCCGTTGATTAGTCGCAAATTTACGCTGGAGTCAGACTGGAAATTCCTCTCAATCCCATGGGATTCTCCCAGTTCCCCCTTTTTTTTTAATGCCCAGACCCTTGGACTGTGGCGAGACAGTGTTGGCTAAGCTGCTGTATGCAACTGTAGTCCAACTGTAGATGGAAAGACATCTGTGAGAGAATTAATGTGGCAGAGCTCCTCAGCTCTGTCCCTGGGTTGTTCCACACTGGGCTGGAGGGCTGCCTAATTCGACCCCCTTTGCCTGTTTACTGTGATATTCTGCCATCATCCTGTAGCAGGAATTGAATCACGTGTGTGGAGTTGGGGGGGTGAGATGTGTTTATTGACGAATTGATGGGTAGGATCGTCAGTCAGGGGAGCCTGGGTCTCATCAGCCACTTGGCAGCAATGCATGATGTCATCAAGTACTGGAATCCAGCTGCGGAGGGCTCCACGACTGACCAGTTTAAAATAATCTTGAAAATCCGTAGCCCGGAGGAATAAATGCCGAAGCTGTGC